TGCCGGGGGAGCCAGCGTTCCCGGGCCCAGATCTGAGGCAAGGGGAGGAGGCTGAAAAGAAAAGGGGAGGTTTTGCAATGTCATAAAAATGATTTGCAGCGAACATGCTTAATACTTCTGGAATTTCTTGGCATCGTTCAATTAAAAAAAATAATACTAAAAAGAAGGAATACGGGTGAACTTCAGAAATGTGATTAATCCTTTAAGACAAGCCGAGGAGGGGAGCCATGTTTCCACTGGGTATTAAAGCCAGATGAAGGTTAACTCTGAACTTGTGAAAAGCTGGCAGTGCCTCGCGCTCCTCCAACAATGAAAGTTACTGCTGGGGAGGGGAAGGCTGCTGGATATTTTCTCCTCTTTGCTTTTTATATTTGATCAAGGAAGAAAACAGTAAAAGCCACAGAAATGGAAAGAGGTGGAGAAGAGGCGAGAGCCCAGTGTCTGCCTGCCCACATCACGCATATTTCTCTGATCAACAAAATATAAACGAGCAGCAGGAAAATTAATGTGCGCCTTGGTGGTCTGGATTCATGACAGCCAAATTAAGATTTCAGAGCCAAGGCATAGGCTCCAGCAATGCTGGCAGGGATCTGCACACACACACACACACACGTGTGCACGCACGCACAGACCCCGACAAGGAGCAGGGGCCCGGGAGCCCGGAGGAAGAGCAGATCCATGGCCCCGGCACAGCGGAGCCCACCGGGGAGCACCATGCTCTCGGAGATGGAAAATGATGTCCCCGTGCCGGGGGACCCCCAGGATGACCTTGCGCTGGGCAGATGCGGGGGTCCCTCACGGGCAGCCCCCCAGACGGCAGCTCAGCCCACCGCTCTCACAGCTGTGAGTGCCCCGCAGCGGGGGGCGGGACCCCCGGCTTCTCCTGCCTTCCCCTCCCAGCCCGGCCGCGGGGGACGTGGGGCGAAGCACTGGTCGGAGGGGGAAAGGATGGGGGAAAGGGATCCCGGGGAGGGTGGAGGAGCAAGAACTGGGCGCCGCCAGAGAAGTGGAGTGAAACCGGCAGGGGAGAGGGGAAGAACACCAGGTGGGCACTGGGACAAACTGTTTTCCAGCACTCCAGTCTGCAAGCTTCCCGCCAAACTACTCCCCTGAACTCCTGCTCCCCCACGGCGAACGGGACTGTGTTATTTGCCAGCGGGTTTTGGCCACGGGCGGTCTCAGCCGCCCCACTCCCCGCTGGTCCAGCACGTACAGCTGTCCAGGAACGCCGACAGGTCAGCTGGAGCTGGCAAGGGGTGCCCGGGGGCTGCGTGGGGCGAGCCCCCCCTTCACATGTCCCTTTGCGCTTGGCCCCAGCGTGGCAAAACGGAGGCTGCCATTCTGGGCTGGGACAGACAGTTTTGCCCTGAGGGCTGCAAACGAGCCCCCCTGAGAGGCGGGGGGGCCCCCGGCCGGGCCCGGGCGCCCGGCGGGGGGGGG